CCCAAAAGGATTTCTGTCCTCAGTGAGTCAGCAGAGGCTCAGGGACAGCGGGGAGCTCAGTGGGGAAGGGGGCCGAGGTCCCAGGGCAGCCCGACTAACCCCAGATGCCTATGCTGTGCCAGCCTCAGGGCCCCTTTGTTAGGCTGGGAGAGCAAACTTACAGGCCCAGGGGTGGGAGGAGGACTGAGAAGTGAGTAGTTGGGGCTAGATTTTGTGATCAATCATGCATTCCACACTCAATGAGCAACTACTATGTGCCAGGGACTGTGCTAGAGGCTGGGGATGCAGCAAAGGACAAAACCGGGGAGAAATCTCTGCTCTGGTGAGCAACAAACAAATAAAAATGTACTTTAAAGTGCTTTAAAGCAAACCAGAGCAGGGAAGAGAGTAATGGGTAATGGGCTGAGGAAGAGGCTATGTTAGATGTAATGGTCACAGAGGCCTCTCTGAAGAGGGGACACCTAGGAAGACACTGAATGCACTGAGGGTGTGGGCCACATGGATACGCAGGGAAAGAGCTCTCCAGGCAGAAGGATCAGCCAGTGCAAAGGCCCTGAGGTGGGCTTGTGCCTGAAGTGTTCCAGGAGCAGCGCAAAGGCTATTGTCGCCGGAGCAGAAAGACGAAGAAGAGAGTGGGAGGATACAAAGTCAAGGAGGTAAGGGGTGGGCAGCAGAGGGGAGTGGGCACTCTTAGTGTCCACCCTTAGGGGTTTCTGGATCCTGGGAGTGCCCCAGGGCAAACCTCTCCTCTCTGGTCTCTCAGAAACATGAGCCCCGGAGGGGCTGGCACAGCTTTTCCCAGCTGGTCAAGCTCTTCCCCCAGCCCCTCAGAGCCTCCAGAAGGCCAATGTTCTGTTTACAGCCAGAGAAGCCGATTCCAGAGATGTCACATAGCCAGCAAATGAGAAGGCACCCCAGCCTTGGGCCTCAGACTGCCGGCCCTGCCAGTCACTGCCCGTGCTGCACTGACGGGGGCCATCTAAATGCAGGTCTGAGGCTCAACCCGGGGAGTTGGAGCTGCAGGTCAGACCAGCAAAAGCTTGACTCATCAGCATGTCTAGAATATTAATGGGGATGCAGGGACACAGCAGGAAGATGAGGCTTTGGAACTCCCCACTGTGAGATAGGGTGTCCTCCAAGGAGCAGGCCTAAGGAGCCCCCACGTCCCTTCCTGCCACACCCAGAGAGGCCATCTGGTTCTGACTCTGGGGGCACAGGCCAGGAGGTACCCAGGGTGCTGGAATCACTCACTGGAGAGGAGCAGACCAAATTCCCCAGCGACCCCACAGAGAGGCGCCTGCTTTCTTTAAGCCCTACGCCAATTTCCCAATCAGTGCTGGGTGTTACCCCGGAGCTCCCCACCAAGAGAACAGAGCTGGGTTCCAGTCCCAGCTCCTCCACGCTCTGCTGTGTAGCCTTGGGAAAGTGACCTCCCCTCTCTGGTCTCCGTTTCCTCATCTATCAAATGGGCACGATTATGCTCCCATGCAGTTCCCAGAGCCCAGCATACAGGTGGCACCCAGGACTTGCTGGCCAAGCACTTGCCACAGCTCTGATGTACAGCTTCTTTTTTTTTTTTTTTAAAGATTTTTATTGGGGAATTAGGGGAATAGGAACAGTGCTGGGGAATTGGGGGAAGGGGAACAGACAAGTTGCTGTCGTTTTGTTCTTCAGTCTAGTTGTGGAGGATGTTGCTTCACTGGCCCAAGTTGGCACCATCATTGCGCTCTTCTCTGGTGAGGCAGATCAGTCGCCGGCTTCTGGACGGCCGCTCACGATGGCTGCTGGCCTCTCACGCTGGCTGCTGGCTATACACGGTAGTCCATGGCAACCCACTGCCACAGGGGCTGCAGCCTATGCCGTCGCCGGCGACTCATGGCAGCCCGGCTCCAGGTTGAGCTGTTGTTCAGCATCTTAGCTGCAGAGGGCAGTGTCACTGGCCCTCATATGTGGGATCCGAACCGGGGCCCTCTGGCATCCCAAGCGAGTTCTTAACCATCACGCCACTCGGCCGGCCCTGATGTGCATCTTCTGCCTGGCAAGCATGCCCGCACCTCTGCCCCGCTCCCTGGCACTCCTCTGAGCAGCTCACTGATGATTTATACTTCAGAGGACGAATCAATACAATATATGGCCAAAGACATCTTTAATCTTTCGCAGGGATTAGGCTACAAGGTACAGTGGCTTCTTTCTACTGGCCGCTCAATTCTGATTTCAATTTGGCCAGCTGGAGCGTGGCTTTCTTCTTTTCTTTTCAACCGCCTCAAGACGTTCCTCCAAATCAAATTTCATTTAGCGGGGCAGGGAGACCTCGCTGCCCGTACACAAGGGCAGGCCCAGCCAGGGTCCTGGACTGTGCACCCTAAACAGGGTGACAGCAGGAGGATCTGGGGACACGGGAGGTGCAGCCAGGGTGGGAGGTCAGGCCCTCAGTGACAGGATGGGGCAGAGGGGGCACAGGCACTGGGGGTGGGAGGGCAGCTGTGCCAGGGCAGAAGTGTCCCTGAGCTGGAGGCCTCAGCAAAGTAGCTAGTTCTCTTATTTGTCTAGAAGTCCTTTTTAAAAATCTTGAGTAAGGGATGGCCGAGTATCTCAGTTGGTTAAGAGTTTGCTTAAGAGCACGAGCTCTGAGCAACAGGGTCGCTGGTTCAATTCCCACATGGGCCAGTGAGCTTCATTCAAGCTGAGCTGCCAACAGGCGTCAGGATGGCTTAGCTGGTGAGAGCACGTGCTCCTAATGACAAGATTGCCTGTTCGATGGTGGGCTACTCCCATCCGTGGCTGGGACTGAACTCGGCACCTTGAGCTGAGCTGCCGCCCAGATGGCTGTGGATAGAGCATGCGCTCTTAACAGCAAGGTTGCTGGTTTGACTCCCACATGAAAAAATAATAAAAAAATATAAAAATCTTGAGTAGACTTTTTTATTTTCTAACTACCAAATGCCTAGAAAAATTAAATAATAGTCTTAGCTTCAGATAAAATGCAATGCTCAGACCTCACCCTAATCCCATGCCTCTCACACTCTTGTCAGCATGTGTCCCTCTGGGCCGTGGGTGTGCACGTGTGCACGTGTATCACTGTCATATCCCGTCCCTTGCACAGGGCTTGTCCACAGTGGCCTCAGTTAATGTGGTGGGAAACAGGCAGAAGAGTTGATGAGAATACAAAAGCAGTTAAGACCTCTAGTCCTAGAGCCAGGCTGCCAGAGTTCAAATCCCTTCTCCATCGATAACATGCTGTGTGACCAGGTGCCAGTTGTTATTTGACCTCTCTGTGTCTCAGCTCCTCCCTATAAAATGGGCGTGCCTACCTCATAGGGTAGGAAGAATACCCAGGATAACAGGTGTAAGACAGGTGCTGAGCACGTACTGGGCCCACAGGGAGGGCTACAGGGGGGTGGCTGCTAGGTCCCGTACAGCAGGGACTGGACATAACTGAACACTAAGATGCTGAATCTTCTGTCCCTGCCCCATCTGGCACCTTTGTCCCCAAATCCTGCAGAGGTTGCATCTTAAACAGAAAGGCAGTAGGTTTGTTTGGGGAAAGAGTCAAGTCACAGAGGAGGACCTGGGGTCAGCCCAGAGTCTGAGCAAAGGAGGAAAAGTCAGAGGGAGGGGGCAGCAGCACTGGGGGTCTGACACGGCCACCATGAGTCTCAGGGAGCTGCCACCTGCCTGGCTGGAGGTGGGAGCTGTCGGTCCACTCCTGCTGCCTCCCTCTGCTGGCCCAGCTGCTAGAGTGGGGCGTGGCCTGGAGCCGCAGCCATCAGTCAGCGCCGCCCCACTTCCGCCCTGGCCGGCCTTTCTGCCAGGTTGCAGGCACCCAAGCGGCTTTGGCTGTGCAATTAAAGGGGCTTATCCAAGATTTATAGCAGGATTATGCCCACAGGGTGTTACTAACGCCAGCCTCTGGACACTGTGGTCCTTAGAAAAGCAATTAGAGTCCCGGGTTATACCGGTATAAATACACAGACACCATCCCCCAAGGTCGAGGTTGCCACAGCAGCTATTTAGAGGCTGGGCCTTGGAAAAGGCCCGGAGAAGGGGCAGAGGGGCCCTCTCTGCAGGGATGTGTGTCTGTGAGGAGGGGGAAGGGTCTCCCCACTTCTCCTCTCTACACCTCAAGCATGACAGGCGCCATCCCTCGGCCCCACAGCCCTCAATCAGCCGTCACTCTTGGCAAGGCTCGCTCAGTGGGGTGGAGGGGGGAAGCACGCCCTCAACCCAGTCCCTCGGCATGGCCATTGGAACTGACCCACTCAGAGGCCCAGGCCTGCCAAGGTGTTAAACCTTGTTATGTTAACTTCTTATCACTTGCCCATACCTAAAAACTTTATCACGAGCTTCTGAGGACACCAATTAGGGGGCGAGAGGGGAGGAGGGAGGTGGCCTGTGGTAAGTGGGGGACCTGGAGGAGAGCAAATCACTTTCCCACCGTTCCTCAAATCCCACCCTCAGGGCACCTACTGCCCTGAAGCCTGAGCCAGCCCAGCCATGTGAGATGTGACTCCTGCCACCCCTGCCCCTCACCCACACCACGCTGCTCAATCTTAGGGACTCTGAATCCCTGACCCCCTCAAACAACCCTTGCTCCAAGAATCTTCTGGCTGGCCCCTGGCTCCTGGGTCCCTGAGAGCTCCTTTAAACAAGGCCACCTCCATCCCAACCCCCTTCCCTTGTTCTCTGCCTGAGAACAGTGGCTGTTCCACCAGCTCCCACACCAGGAATACAACAGTCCCTCAATCTGCCTGACCACATCTGCAAAAGTCATTCACATCCACCCCTCACTCCCAGGAGTCAGCCAGCTGCCCAGCAAGGCCACAGGCCAGTCCCCAGTGCTCAGAGGAAAAACGGAGGCCCACAAGGGGCATGGCCCAGGGCAGGGGGACCCAGAGAATGGCTCTCAGGCAGTGCTCAGCCACTGTGCTGTGACAACACCCCCCCATCCCACCCCACCCTGGTCCCCCGAGCATGGCCCTGCAGGCAGGCACCTGACTCACCGTTCTCTCGGGACTTCTGGATGAAGGCCTCCACGCCGCTCTCGCCGTAGCTGCCCTCCGAGGCCAGCGTGGACACGTAGTTCCACTTGAGGGCACGGACGATGTCCACCATGGCTTGGGCCTGGTACGTGTCTGAGGGCACCACGCGGGAAAAGAAATCGTAGCGGCTGTTGTCGCTCAGGTCAGGGGCTGTGGAGGCGTAGCTGATCTGAGGGATCTGGAGGGGAGAGGGGCCACTAATGGGGGCGGTTGGCACCCCCACCCTACCCAGCCAGCACCACACCCCCACACACCAACTTCCCTCCTGTCCCCACAGCCTTAGAACCTCCCTAGCCCTTTCCACAGGCATCGCCTCCTCTCATCCTGGGTGAGACCCTGTGACATGGGCTGGACAGATCCTAGGCCACTTGACAGAGGAGGAAACTGAGGCCCAGAAAAGGTGTGTAAATGGTTGGCCAGCCCTGCCATTGGCTCCAGCCCAGGGTCCTGATGCCTCCCAGCCCCACTCAGCTCCCCCTAATCCTGGCCCTCCCTGTGGCCCTCCCAACTCCCAGCAGGAGTGAGGCTGACATCAGGTTGAGAAGTGACTGGTATGTCAGCATCAAGCCCTGCTCCAGAAAATCTCCCAGCTAGCCTCACCTGGGTCCCGCAGCTGCTGGTCCCCCAACAATACACATGTATACACCACAGAGTCATCAGAGATCTACACACACACGCACACACGTGCGCACACACATGCATGTGCACACATACCCCAGGGGCCTCTGGGGGCCTCTATTTACGTAAAGAGCTGGACAATCCCAGCCAGGAAAAATCCCCAGGTGGGTGAGATGGTGTGGCCTGGGTATGGGATGGGGATGAGGTGGTGAGAGGGAGCCTTGAGGGGTCCATCTCCTTCCCCCAGGTCACCCCGAGGTCACCACCCAGCCGACTGCCCCCACAGCTCCGCCTGCCCACCCCCAGGCAAAGGTGAGATGCAGAGCCCTTATGCTGCCCTTCCTCCTGTGGTTGACATCCCATCATCCCCAAAGGACGTGGAAAGGGTTGTGTGGACCCTCCTGTGTCTTCCCTGCTCGCTGGCCCATGCACACACCCCCAAGCACCCTGCTCATGTGCCCCCCTGCTGCCCAGCTCCCCAGGACTTCTCAGTGCCCCACGATCTCTATTCCCTGCCTCCATCCACAGCCAAACATACCCTTCCTGTGTGCCCTCTGCCCTGCCTCAGCTGTCCAGGGTGATGGGGTGAAGGGGTGGGCATACTGATCTGGGCTAATGTAAAATCTAAGATTTATCCCCCTAAGGAATCACTAAGATTCAATCCTGGCAAAAACAAAAAACAAAACAAAACCCTCCAGGCCAGACCTTCAGTCCCAGTGGCAACTGAGGATGGGGAAATGCTCTGGGGACAAGAGGATTGGGGACACCCCCTGGACAAGTGTTCGCCCACTTAGCCTATGCCTATGGTGTCCCCATCCCCAGGGAAAGTCAGGGCGCACCTTCCACTGAGGACGCCTATTCCGAAAAGGCCATGGCCCAGCTCAGCCCCTGCGATGCCCCCCAGGCAGGCCTCAGCAGGCCCCTCACTGCCTCCCCTCACTGAGCTCACTCAGGGGAAAGGACGTGGGGAAAATGGATGATTGGTTTTCTGGATTTTCTGAGCAACTGAGCCCTCTCGTTGCAGCTCTCGTGGTCTTTATAAAATGGTATGCACCGTGCCATTCACTGTAGCCCTTTGTAACAGCAATGCTTTGGAAACAACCTGGTGAGAGAAGCTATGGCCATACAAGGAATATTACGCAGCTGTGAAAAAGAACAAGGTAGCTTTCCAGGCACTGCTCTGGGTAAAAACACCAGCAGATCTGTGTGCTGCAGCGCCCTACTTACGGTATGAGGGGCCTATCTACCCAGGTACAAACTCACACAGCTCTGAAACCAAACAGTTTTCTCTGGGGAGGGAACCAGGTGGCTGGGGACAGGGTTGGGCAGGGAACTTTCACCTCATACCCTTTGTACCTTTCACACGTAGAACCTTGCAAATATAGCACCTGTTTAGAAAACAAACCACATTTGAATCTTGTGACCCCTTTTCTGCCTGTGTCAGCAGTGTCCAAAAACTAACCCAGTCCTCCTGCCTCGGAGAGCACTTAGCATGAAAACAGCACCCTCTAAAATGTAGACTTCGGTTGGCTATTTGATGATTAATTTAAAAAGCATTGCTATTTTTAGGTCTGATAATAGTATTATAGTTGCAGTTGGTTGATTGGTTTTTGAGAGTCCCTTTCTCTTAGAGCACAGATTCTTAGCCTCAGCACTATTACCACTTTGGGGGGGAGATAAGTTGGGGGGCTGTCCTGTGCATTGTAGGAGGTTTGGCAGCATCCCCATAGCACACATAACCCTCCCACAGTTGTGACAACCAAAAATGTTGATGGACATTGCCAAATATCCCCCAGGGGCAAAATTATCCCCTGCTGAGACCCGCTTTTTCAGAGATATGTACTGAAATATTTAGAGATGAAGTGATATGATGAGGTCTGGGATTTCCTTCAAAAGGATCACGGTGGGAACATTGGCTGAGAGCTGACAACTGCCGAGCGGGGCGTACATGGAGGCTCAGTGCCCTATTTGTTGTGCTTTTGTACATGTCTGAAATGTCCATATTTTTTAAATTGTCAACAATAGCACAGAACAAAATAATGCCACCCCCGGGTCATCCCTCTGAGCAGAAGTGCCCTGAATTTGGAGCTGGAGCTGGAGAAGGTGGTGGAGATGGCTGCCGGGACCGCCAGATACAGCCCGCCTTCACGGCAAGCTGAGACAAGATGGTTTGGTTTGTTTGTTTGCTGACTTACCTCTCGCCTGGTCCTAATCACACACCCAGGAATCCCCTCGCCTCCTAATTAGAAGATTGTCTCCTACCTCTGGCGTTGTCTCCCAACACAGTGCCCGGAGTCAAAAGGGCCCTTGCACAGCAGAGGTGTCAGGGCTGGTGGCAGAACAGGACAAAGAGGGAGCACGGGCGACTCCCCGCTCAGCCCTCCCTCATCCTTCTTCCACACACCTCCCACCTCCCCTCCCATTCAGGCACTCAGCCTGGGTAGGGATGGCAGATAGACAGGTGGATGTCCAGGTGTCAGGACCCAGGGCCCTCCCCCGGTGGGCCACACCTGCCAGCAGCCTTCAGACCCAGGCCCTGCTCCCTTTCTTAACCCCATTCCCAGGAAAGGGTGGGAGGGCTGAGCACCAGGTTCCCAGGTTCCCGCAGGGTATGCGTGTCCTCCTGCCTGCGGGAGTGCCTGGGCCCCTGCTCCATCCCCAACAATTCCTGACAGCCTGGCACAGGGACCCAGCCCTGAGATGGCTGCGGGGGAGGGGACAGCTTCCTGAGCAGCTGTCCAGGGGATCAGGCAGCATCCTCTTACATGTTCCCTCTGCCAGCTCTCCTCTGCTCCAGGCCCTCCCGAAGTTCCTAGGGGGATAGTTTCAAGCAGAGATTTGGGAGCTAAACAGCTCGGGTTCAAATCCCAGCTCTACCACCCACCAGCTGGGAAACCCTGGGCAAGTCACTTTACCTCTCTGGGCCTGATTCCTCAGTTGCAAAATGGAAATCGTTACAATCCCTTTCTCACAAGGCTGTGAAGGTCACATGTGGAATTCATGTGAAGCGCTGTGGGCAGCGCCTGGCAGGCAGCAAGCATGCGAAAGGGGAGCTCTTGTGTGAGTTACCTCCCTCTCCCCTTCCTCTTGGTGGCCCGCTCCTCTTGCCCCTCTCTCTGACTACCCCACCCACCCAGGACTCTCCCCTGTGCCTCCCCCCCATCGCCCCCCATAGTTATGGCCGTGCTTAGTGGATACCTCCTGCTCGGTGCTGACAGGCTCTCCGACATATTCCTCCCTCCTCATCCCAGCCTGGGCTGAGGTGGGGGAGAGCAAGGGACCGCCCTGGGAACACCATGGGCAGAGTGGGGCTCTGATGTCGCCTCAGCTCCCACTGTCTCCCAAGCCCAGCTGGAGGGGGTGGGGGAGCACAACACTCACAACAGCAGCTTAAGTAAGAGGGGTGGGAGGTAGCCATGCCCACCCCACTGCCAGCTCCTCCATCTCTCTGCCTCCCTCTCTCCCTCCCTCCCTCTTACCTTCACCCAACACTGTGAGCACCTACTGTGTGCCAGGCACTGTTCTAGATGCTGGGGACATGGTACCTCCTGTCACATCCTCAGGGGGCAAGAGTCAGCAAGAGCACAGATTCCAGCAGCAGCACCTGACCAAACACAGGTGTCCTACTCCAGGTCCATCTGTCTGTCTTTTTCTCTATCCTCTCTGCCCACAGAGCCATACCCTCATCTCCCCACATCCAAATCTTCCTTGTGAGGCAAGGCCCAGTTCAAATGCTGCCTCCTCCAGGCAGCCCTCCCTTTGCCCTCGTCTTCCAGAGTCTGCTCAGCACCGCGTTGGGCTGCTCCAGGGGCACCAGGCCTATCTTCTCAGGTGCTGGGATGCTTGGTCTACTTGTCAATTCAACAGGCATCCTAAGGCACCCTCGTTGTGCTGGGAAAGGGCACGTGGGGAGCAGAGGAGGGAGGCTGGATTTATCCCACTCTCAAAACACTAGTCAACGCCCACTGCACTGTGGGAGGCCCCTGGGGAAGGGGCAGGTGGGACACCCCTGAGTGATACACCCTGTGTCTACAGCTGGCACCCAGGAGAGCCTCACACACAGAAGGGCTGAGTGACTGAAGTGGGAGAGAATACGTGAATAAACCGCTCTCTCTGGCTTCTAGAGTGACAAGGAGGTCCGTGCCACATGGGGGAAGACAAAAAGCTGCTCCTGGGCTTGAGCAACAATGAAGATGAATGCCAAGTGCATCCGTCTGTCTGTCTGTGTGTGTGCACATGCGCTCACACACACATATTAGCACAGCTGGCGTATGTGCCCCGTATGTGCCCCGTATGTGGCGTATGGGTACACAAGTACCCAGCACATTCATTCATTTACTCCTCCTACCAATAATCAGTAGAGTGATGGCTGCCAAGTGTAGTGCTGAGTGCTGGGGACAGACGGTGACCACCACCCGCGTGGGGCTCCCAGTCTAGACAGAGGTATAAATGGAAAGGTGAAGCTGGTAGGTGGGGAAAAGGGTCCAGGAGAAAAAAGAAAGACAAGGAGGAGCAGGGGGCTGTTAGAGAGAGGGTCAAGAAAAGCCCCTCTGACAAGGT